AAACAGTAAAAAATTCTTAAAATATAAACACATAAAAAACTAGTCAAAATGCTTTAACTGCAGTTAATATAAGAAGCGTATGATAAGGCTGTTTTGATAGTTTTTTTTTAAACGTTGAATCCGGTTGAACATGCAGATATTTGGTTTCTGAAATGATACCGAATTCGGCGCTGCATTGTATAACCGTAACCGTATTGTTTCAGCTCACGGATGCCGAACTCACTACGGTCCGCTTGGACAGTATGAAAGTGCGACAAAAACATTTGAAAAATCAGTTAGTGCTATACAGAAAATGCTTGGTAATTAATTCATTGTTTAAAGTATTTGGCTAGCGCATAACGTTCTGATTCCTGTACAATTGCAACTTTATCATTTGAGAAGATGCACAAAAAGAAAGAAAAGGAGATGGAAGAATAGTAAAAATTAAGATGAGAAAAAAAAAAGGCAACAGTGTTTACCGTAGTGATCGTAGGTGTTTTTAAAATATTTTTTCTTCCGTGTCTGTTATACAATGAATATGTAATTCCAACAGCGTCAGGTCGGTCTGACAAGTTCTTTTTGATTGAATACATTTAGTTAGGCAATCAGTTAACACGTTTTTTTCTAAGCAATCAAACTGCTCTTTTTTTTTTTCACTTTATTTTTTTGTTATTTTTGACAACCTTTAACACGATAAATGTCAATCACAAAAAAAAAAAAAAACAAGTAACCAGATTTATTTTAAGCAAAAATGATCACATACGTTACCTAAACAAATGACTAAATTTAGTGTTTTTTTTTTTCTTCCAATTTTTTTCTCTGCAAAACAATCGCATCAAAGAGCGCTTTTTTGGAAGTAGTCATTTTTTTCTTTCACTTTTTTTCGTCACCTTTTCAGAACTTAAACTGTAAGTTTTAGTTGATGAATTATAGACGTAAGAAACAACAAATGCCCAGTATCACCGTTATAATTGCAATATCTAAAAAAAAGAAAGTAGTTTTTTCGAAAGACTTTTCTCTTTTTATTTCGACGTGGCCCGTTAATATTAATGTTCTTAGAAACAGTAAAATTTTGTGTGCACTTATCATAACCAATTATTTTTACGCAGTTTTAGTTAGATCTTATAGTGACGCTAATACAAGGCAATAATATTGATAATAATAAGTAGAAAAGTGATAACAACTAACAGTATCATCAGATTTAATGTACTATTTGTGCCAACATGCAAAATGAAAAAAAGAAAAAGAAGATCTTTGGGTAAAATTGATTAGTTACATTTACAAATCTAGTAATTTAATGGGATTTAAATTTTAGCTCATGATACGTTCCAAAGTTGTTGGGGAGCCGGAGAACGAAAAAAGGTTTTTATTTTTGTACTTTTTTTCATCTGTAAATTAATCTTTCATTAAAAAATTTCCTATTTAAGTAATGTAACAGTGTAATCAAAAACAACACCAACTCGGGATCTTTTAGACAAAGGAAGAGAAATCACATAAGAAAAGAACCAGAAAGGGAACGGGTCAAGAACGGGAAGATGAGCAAGCGATGGCATGTTCAGAGGCTCAAGCCGGATCGTTATCCCATAGTCAATCCGATGGATCTGTATGCCATTTTTTTTTTTTTTTTTTTTTTTTT